TACTTTAAGACTAATTTATTATTTTAAATTAGTACTGATATATATATATATATATTATTTTATATCAGTATAAATAATTATATTATTTTTATTTTATTGCAATATATGGGTCAACTCAAACATCATTGAAAATAAATGATGTGATATATTACATATAAAAAGGTAACAAATAAAAAATATGAACTATTTGAAAATTAAAAAATTTTAATGATAGAAAGTAATAAAAATCTTAACTAAAAAATTTTAAGATTAACATACCCACTTTTTACATTAAGTAATTTTATCAGCATTTTTACTTTTGGATTTAATGAGAGTTATAAGTTTTGTCATCTTTCTTACCCCTTATTTTGTTATTACAATACTAATAAAATAATTAAGGACCTTTCAAAGTATCTTGTTTGCTTTGAAAAAATTAATTCTTATCATAAATTGAACGCCAATTACATTGAATGTGTTATATTTTCTATCGTATCAAAATTTTCATAATAATAGTTGCACACAATATTCTATATAATGCATTTTTTTTATAGATTTGGAGTATTAGTTTTACTATAAGAAAATTACAACAAAAATAACAATTTTCTTATGTTGATTTTAGAAAAATCTTGACTTTTGGTTTCTTAAATATATTTTACCTTATTGTGATTGCATAGATTTATTAAAATGTATTACAAATGAGAAAGGTGATAGATTATGTAAAGTATAATTTATAAATTGCAATGACATGTTATTTTGATGGTATATTTTTTTCTATTAACTAAATAATGCTCCCAATATGAAATTATTTTGGATCTATCACAACAATTATCTTTCTAATGGAACTTCTATTAATTTTTGCATAATACCAATGACAATTTTTTCAACGATTGAAATATGGTCCAAAAAATAAATTCCAATAGAAATTCAGGTAATTGAAATCTTTACATCCACTAAAGTTCATGTAATTTAATTTGAACTCTATTGGAATAGCCAATGAAAGCAATATATTCGTTGAAATTTTCAGTAGAATACCTTACCGTTGAATTTTTCATTGCAGTATAGGAAAATTTGTGTAGTCCTCTCAAACATTATTTTTTATATAGTATTTATTGAGTAATTGTGTTTACAATTTTTCTATTAAAAATATATTAAACACGTGAACTTTTTTGTTCCTATATTTTTTTTCAGAAATCACTCATTATTTTATCTCAAGATTACCTATTAATTTACCAATTGAGTTACATTTCTTACATATTAAATATTATATAATTAAAATATTTCTTTTTTTATCTGTTCAATATCATACTTATATATTATATTAAAAAACTATAATAGTAAATAAAAAAGTTATTTAAAATTAGAATAATAAAGATTTTTTTTTTTCTAATCTACATGTATAATTACAAATAACTATTGTTATCACCTCAAATTTAAACATAAAATTAATAAGAACAAAAACCTAACAAGCGTTTAACAATTCAGTTCGATTACATCGATAAGTATATTTTTAGAAGGTTTATATCTAGTTATATTAATTATATTATTGTTGTTTATTAGTTTGTTTTATATTTATTAGTACATGTCACAACTTAGTTATTATTCATATTATTTCATATATTTAATATTTTTTTATAACTTTATCTTGTTCTTTCACATGTTATTAACTGTAGATTTGTCAAAAAAGACATAATATAAAGAATAGAATTTTTTCGATCATCTGTCTCATTATATATCATATATTTGTATATCCTATATTATATTATATTTAATTACAATTTTATATTAATATTTTAATTAAATATTTACAATTCATAAATTCATTAGTAATATTGTCGAGTCAACTTTTGTTCATAAAATTTTTAAAAATATATTATTTTCATTGATTTGCTTATGTTGAATTGAGAAAAGTTGTGTTTTTTTAATTACATATAGGGTGGATATAAGATTTCTTATATTTTTTATGTAGTATTTATTGAGTAATTGTGTTTACAATTTTTATATTAAAAATATTTTAAAAACGTGAACTCTTTAGTTCCTATATTTTTTTTTTTTTCAGAAATCACTCATTATTTTATCCCAAGATTACCTATTATTTCCAATTGAATTATATTTCTTACATATTAAATATTATATAATTAAAATATTTCTTGTTTTATCTGTTCAATATGATACTTATATATTATATTAAGAAAACTAATATAATGAATAAAAAAGTTATTTAAAATTAGAATAATAAATTTTTTTTTTCTAATCAACATGTATAAATGTACAAATAACTATTGTCTATCACCTCAAATTTATACATAAAATTAATAAGAACAAAAAACTAACAAGCGTTTAACAACTCAGTTCGATTACATCGATAAGTATATTTTTAGAAGACTTATATTTAGTTATATTAATTATGATATTTTTGTTTATTAGTTTGTTTTATATTTATTAGTACGTGTCACAACTTAGTTATTATTCATATTATTTCTTATAATTATTATTTTTTTTAAACTTTATTTTGTTCTTTTACATGTTCTTAACTGTAGATTTGTCAAAAAAGACATAAAATAAAGAATAGAATTTTTTTGATCATCTGCCTAATTATATATCAAATATTTGTATATCCTATATCATATTATATTTAATTACAAATTTTTATTAATATTTTAATTAAATATTTACAATTCATAAATTTATTAATAATATTGTCGAGTGAACTTTCGTTCAAAAAATTTTAAAAAATATGTTATTTTCATTGATTTGCTTATGTTGAATTGAGAAAAGTTGTGTTTTTTAATTACATATAGGGAAGATATAAGATTTCTTATATTTTTTTATGTAGTATTTATTGAGTAATTGTGTTTACAATTTTTCTATCAAAAATATTTTAAAAACGTGAACTTTTTAGTTCCTATAATTTTATTTTTTTTTCAGAAATCACTCATTATTTTATGTCAAGATTGCCTATTAATTTACCAATTGAGTTACATTTCTTATATATTAAATATTATATAATTAAAATATTTCTTGTTTTATCTGTTCAATATGATACTTATATATTATATTAAGAAAACTAATATAGAAAATAAAAAAGTTATTTAAAATTAGAATAATAAAGATTTTTTTCTAATCTATATGTATAAATGTAAAAATAATAACTATTGTCTATCACCTCAAATTTACACATAAAACTAATAAGAAAAAAAACTAACAAGCGTTTAACAACTCAGTTCGATTACATCGATAAGTATATTTTTAGAAGGTTTATATTTAGTTATATTAATTATATTATTTTTGTTTATTAGTTTGTTTTTTATTTATTAGTACGTGTCAAAACTTAGTTATTTTTCATATTATTTCTTATATTTAATATTTTTTTAAAACTTTATCTTGTTCTTCCACATGTTCTTAACTGTAGATTTTTCAAAAAACACATAATATAAAGTATAGAATTTTTTCGATCATCTGCCTCATTATATATCAAATATTTGTATATCCTATATTATATTATATTTAATTATAATTTTTTAATTAATAATTTAATTAAAAATTTACAATTCAATTCATTAATAATATTGTCGAGTCAACTTTTATTTATAAAATTTTTGAAAATATACTATTTTCATTGATTTGCTTATGTTGAATTGAAAAAAGTTATGTTTTTTAGTTATATATCGGGAGGATATAAGATTTCTTATATTTTTATGTTGTACTTATTGAATAATTGTGTTTACAATTTTTCCATTAAAAATATATTAAACACGTGAACTTTTTAGTTCCTATATTTTTTTTTTCAGAAATCACTCATTATTTTATCCCAAATTACCTATTAATTTACCAATTGAGTTACATTTCTTACATATTAAATATTATATAATTAAATATTTCTTGTTTTATCTGTTCAATATGATACTTATATATTATATTAAAAAAAACTAATATAGTAAATAAAAGAGTTATTTAAAATTAGAATAATAAAGATTTTTTTTTTCTAATCTACATGTATAAGTGTACAAATAACTATTGTCTATCACCTCAAATTTACACATAAAATTAATAAGAACAAAAAACTAACAAGCGTTTAACAACTCAGTTCGATTACATCGATAAGTATATTTTTAGTAGGTTTATATTTAGTTATATTAATTATATTATTTTTGTTTATAAGTTTATTTTTTATTTATTAGTATGTTTCACAACTTAGTTATTTTTCATATTATTTCTTATATTTAATATTTTTTTAAAACTTTTATCTTGTTCTTTCACTTGCTCTTAACTGTAGATTTGTCAAAATGACATAATATAAAGTATAGATTTTTTTCGATCATCTGCCTCATTATATATCAAATATTTGTATATTCTATATTATATTATATATAATTACAATTTTTTAATTAATATTTTAATTAAATATTTACAATTTATAAATTCATTAATAATATTGTCGAGTCAATTTTTGTTCATAAAATTTTTAAAAATATATTATTTTCATTGATTTGCTTATGTTGAATTCAGAAAAATTATGTTTTATTTTAATTATATATGGGGAGGATATAAGATATGATGACATTAGTATATTACCATTAAAAACATGTGAAAGTAAAGGTTTTTTAGGTAGTTTATTTTTTAATTAAAAACATAAACAAAATATGATGTGTATTAGTGTATTACTAATTTGCCATTAAACTTATGTCAAAGTAAGGGTTTTTTAGGCATTATGAATTTTTACAAAAACACTCCTCCTTTTAAAGTAGTATAGATAGATAGATAAATATACAAGAGGTAGAAAAGTGTAATATAATTTAAATGTGTTAGTATGGGGTGCAATTTCCTCTATTTTTTTTTAAGTTCTCATCTTATTGGTCCCAAGTGAAGAGTGCTATCAACTGAGCTACCACTTCTCGTCACATCTTCCATGTATTATAATGTCATTGAGTACATACATCCCAAAAGCATATATACGGAATAAAGTTTCATAACCATTTACGTAACACACAAACACACATAAAGAAGCTAGAGGAAAAACAAATCTATCGTTTCTGGAAATTGAATGATCTTACTGCAAATGCGAAAATCAAACCAAAAACGACTCCAAATCCGGTAATGACAACAGCAACCACGCCGATAAAATCGTGTCTGAACCCAAAGTAACTCCTCACAAATTCCTCAACAGTTTGCTTCGAGTCTAACTTATCTTTAACATCTCCAAACTGTGATGCGACCAAGCCATAAAGTGTCCATGCCACGGGATTCACCCAATGGAACCATCTCCACCATACAGGTGTCCTCTGTAAATCCAAAGATCAAAAAAGAGAACCACAAGATTTTTTGATTAGTTCGTTGTCTTTTGCCATATAAATAGGGATATTTACGAAAGACAACCCTGCCAAAACAAAAAACAAAAACTCATAAACATATTAAGGATTACAAAAGGCCCCCAAGGTTTTGTTTCCAAGAAAAGTTGCATGCGTAAAATACTTTCTAAGAAGAACATTGCAAAAATCGCCCTTGGACGTGTGAAACTATCACAATGCCCCCCCTTTAAATATCCACATATATCTTATGAATAATTACAGAGATACACTTGAGATTTGATCTCAGATATAATAAAACTGAGATTCTAGTACTTACCGGCCTTGGGATCACAAATCCAGAGAAGAGGTTCCATAAGGCATAAAACGAGTAGGATATGATGTTGGCAATGTGGTGATTTGGGGTGACTGCCACGGCCATCATGCCGTAGAAGACGAAGTAAAGCAGCGAAAAGAACATGAAAAATATGTACCAAAAGTATTTGGCCGCCGTCCACTCGAAACCAATCATTGCGTACACAATGGTACCGTATATTATGGCCTGAGCAAAAGCGTAAGGGACCTCGATCAAAGCCTGCAGAAAAAATAAAAAAAGCCGAGATTGAACAAGAATGTATCATCTTTTTTCTGTATCAACGGGAATCAGACACCAAAACTACCCCTACATTCAGATTCAATCAATCAACAAGCCGTTGAAATCCCACTAAGTGGGGAAATAAGTAGCTCAGATTAATTACAGAAAAAACCTATTATAATCATTTAAAATTTTATGAATATACCCCTAAATATTTCATTCCGTACATGTTTCACTCTCAAAAGGAATTCGGGAAGTAAAATCATGTAATTTTGTTAATTATGCCTTCATTTCAGGGATAAAGTGCAATATAAAGCAAAATAAAAACAGTTCAGGGAAAAAGTGCAGAAAATCCACTGTTCAGGGGTTTTGTGTGATATTTGTGTAATAACCTGTCCGAATGCATATGGTAAGGCGGAGTAGAAGCCCGCGGCCCTTTCTCGGTAAAAAACAGCTCGTTCAACAGCCACCACAGGTTGTACCGATGAGGCAATCTGGACACCCAGAAAGAAAACAGAGGCATACATGGAGCCCATTGCATTAAAGATGTCCTGCTGATTACCCCTGAAAATTACAGGATTAAAAAATACAAAATTAAAGAAACCTAAAAAAAAAAAAATCAACCAGTACATCAGAAAATCTCAAAAAATGGTTCCTTAAACACATTTTTGTTCTTTACTTACAATTTCTTGCCAAGATCCCAGAACATGGACCCAAACAGGAGAGCCAAAAACGCTGTATACAAAATTCGTACAGCAGAATAAAGAGGATTGCGCCAATATGACCAGTGTTGTTTCCATAAGCATGCAATGCACTGAGTGAAAAAGGACTGAGAATACTGAGTTTCAAAGTGGAGGTCCTTTGAGCCAGGAGGAGGTGTGCTTAACTCACTTATGAGAGCTTTATTTCTCCTGTAATTTCAAGACCATTAACATACTTACCAGTACAACACCGGTGTCGACTGCTAGAATAACTTAGTATATTGAATATTACCTGTAAAGTTCTGAATTTTTGTAAAATTCAGCAAAATCAACACCTAAGATCATTTCTTGAGCTGAGGATGTAACCTCGAGCATCCATGTTGCTGGATTATAGCCATCCCTGATCTTTTTAACTCCTTGTATACCCTACATGGAAGATTAAATGGAATTTTAACTTATATTTCATGCTACAAGTAATAAAAAACGCCAAAAAAAAAAGTATCAAAATTACAAGATTCCCATGAAAGCTCCAACCTAACAATAAAAACCTCCAACCCTGTTTGCATTTTATATTTCCCTATTCATAAGGAAAAACCATTTCCAAAACCTCCCTCACATTCAACTAATATTACAACTACCCGTAAAAGTTAAGATAGAGTCAAACCTCATAGGGTCATGGGTGAGTTCGTTGTAATTTTGATACTTCTTGAGGTTTCACATTTATATACCCCAAAACTCATTGGTAACTTTTTAAATGACCCAAATCCTGAGGGGTATATGTAACTCTAAATATTATAGATATATGTCAAACTCTGAGTATTGTTTACAGTTATTCCTTCTTACAATATTGAACCCCGTGGCAGAAGCTCACCTCAAAGTACTGAATCAAATTGCGCGAATGTCGGCCCACTGGCCCCACATATATCTCTTGCCCCCCTCTCTTCATCAAAAACAGCTGCAAAACCAAGAATGACCGTGAACAAAAACAAATAAAGAGGGGAAAAACATAATAAAAGACAATTCTATCTCCATAAAAATTATCTTGCCTCATCAAATGCCTCAAAAATGTCAATGCTAGGTTGATGGATGGTGCAAACAACTGTTCTTCCTGTGTCGACTGTGTTCCTAACTGTTCTCATCACGATTGCAGCAGCCCGTGCATCAAGGCCCGAAGTTGGCTCGTCCATAAAAATTATGGATGGGTTTGCAACGAGCTCGACTGCTATTGTAAGCCTCTTCCTCTGCTCGGTCGAGAGACCATTTACCCCTGGTAAACCGACTAGGCCTCCTCTTAGTGGAGAGAGTTCTACGAGTTCCATCACATTCTCTACAAATGCCTGATAAAAAATAAAAAAAAAAACTTAAAAATTGCAAGAATCCTTGCTAAAAGCCACAGATTAAGAAGTTAGAAGCTCGTAATTTCTTTGGCAAAAAAGTTAGGAATTTCTGCCCTTTCTTTCAAGAGTTCTAGTTTGATTTTTAGAAGCCTCTGTGTTTTCTTAGGAAATTAGCTAAATCTCTCAGGTAGATAGTTCACACTTCCAAGAATGCCATTATTAGTATCTTAAAGGTCAGTCAATTATACCCAAACAATTCAATAATGTATTTTATAATCAGATATGTAAAGATCCTTTGAATACGATTAGCTAAAACCCTTGGAGTAGAGAAGGGAAAATGAATTCTGGTCACCTGGACTTCCATTTTTTCACCATGAGACAATATATAAAATTTAAAACTGAAAAAATAATCGAAGTTGAGGTTGCAAAGGATATTTTCCCTAGTAGAAAATGCCAAAAACAAAAAAAAAAAACCTTTCTGGTCTCAGCATCCATTTCAGACGGTAAACGTAGCCAAGCCGAGAAAAGCAATGCCTCGTAAACCGTAACACAAGGCGAATGAATATCGTTCTGTTCACAGTATCCAGAAATACGAGCAAATGTCTCCTGCCTTTTCGGATAGCCAGAGATCGTGATAGTTCCTTCGATATACCCGCCCGTTTTCCGACCCGCCAACACATCCATGAGTGTGGTTTTGCCGGCCCCACTGACTCCCATAAGAGCAGTTAGCACCCCTGGCCTGAAAGCTCCACTCACACTCTTCAGGAGCAGTAATCGGTCCTCGGTAGCTCCTTGGTGTATCATTTCCTGCATGTTAAATGTAAGATGAAGAAGAGTTGAAGCTATTCGCAATATCTATAAAAGATGGAAATTAATTATTAAAATGCTTGATGGTGTCACCAATTTCAGTTTGTTCCACTCACCACAAGTCCAAAACGTAAGGAGGATGTAAGAACTTTGGTTTTTGTAACTTTCAAGTTGGACAGCCATTTTTCGTAATTAGACCACACCCCAAAGTAAGTCTAGTAATTATCCCAACTATAAAGTGAATATTTTCAGGGAAAGCTTAAATTTGTGCACCAATTACCTGTGGCATGTCAACAGAGTACTTGATCTCGTCAAACACTATGGAATGTGGTTCGAAAGGAAGAACAACTTGCCTCTGCTTTCGATCAGCTCTTCCTGGATTTTATTCAAGATATAGGAAACCAGAAGTTCACCAGAAAAACAATAATTAAATTCCTAAACAATAATTAAAGATTTTATACTCACAATTACAAAAATACATCAACTACTTCATATACAAAATAGAGGCCTAATCGATAAACTACTCCTAGGTTTAGTCTAATTGCCGAAAAGAAAAAGCAAAATCAATTATATTTCCTAAAGTTACAAACATCACTAGAATTTTTTTTATTTTTTTTAAGCAAACATCCTCCGCAGTACTGTTGGTAAACACAAATATTAAGGGAAACTTGTAACTATGAAAGATAATCGAAGGGTTTTCGCTATTAGACAAAAATTTTGGTGTAGTATTTTAACTATCCTTAAAATGAATTCCACGATCCCATTTTCAGTAATGTAACTCACCATTTTGTGCAGTTAAGGCCTCATTATCATTTTCTGGCAGTACAGCTTGAGGTTTTCCTAGAGCTGCAATCAGCAACACCATATTACAACATAACTTCTTAGCAAAGCAAATCCATAGGCAGCAAAGTTTAGGGGCTCACGGTTGAGATAAGTTAGAGCGATGGCAGACAAGACGTTGAATATAATTATCATGCCTAACAATGCTCCTATTCCAATCCAGTACCAGTCTGCGCTCGTAAAATATCCCAAAGACTTCAAAACCTCCACTCCAAGAGTTATATTCGAGCTTGGTGATACCTTCTACACACACAAAAAAAAAAATAAAAAAAAAATAAAAAAAAATACCGGTCATTGATTATCTTCACAACCTGTTCAAGACAGAAATGCTAATATTATAATATAGAGTTATTACAGTAAACCATTTGGAACTTTGGGGTTTTTAGACAATGCCAACTAAACGAATGCATTTTTCACTTTGCCAAGTAGTACTCTCACGTTCTATTATACTCAGGCCCATGCCATAGGTTAATGCAATAAAGAAAATTTAGCAGGTAAAAGTACAATAAATTCAGAAGGTGTAGCGGGTAAAAAAGTGATACTACATATAACTTACGTGACTCCAGCTGTGACCTCTGAATTCATTCACCAGAATTGCATTCAGCGTGTACATCATGGGGGAGATATAGTAGCCCCATATCCACCACTTCTTTATACTATCTGGAAATCGTTAAACAAAAAGAACATAAAGAAGAAACGAATGAGTTAAAATGATATCTTTCAGCTCCTAATTATAACTAAAAGCAGGATTTTATAATCATACCTCTCGAAAGGACAAAACCGCCCAGCGCAAAAACTAGAAGCAAAACAAAGAACCCGACTGTGTTGGCTATTATAATGTTCCTACCCATTGCACCAATCAACCGGAACACTGAGGATGCCGCTTGAATTTCAAATAAGAGCAGAAAGAAATACTTGATAAATCTGTGGATACTTTCAAAATTAGTACTGATATCTGTCCAAGGGAAAAGAATAAATAATATAAAATCTTTGCAACATGAACATGTTTTTTATATTATTATTTGATTTTTCTTTATGCAATATAAGGGCTAGCAATTCAGGCCCTGTAACTTTTGTGCTATTGCATTATATTTGTACAATACCATTTAGTTCTGAGATAATTCATGGTCCTATATGGTTATTCCCGTTTTCCATTTATTCCCAAAATGCCCTAAAGTGGATAAGTACCCAAAATGCATTACAGTAGAACACATATGTTATTATTCAAATTAGAAATAAAACTTTCAAGAATATGAAATGCCATATTAAAAAGGTGAAAAGGATTAAAACTGCCAACACTCAGTAGTTACTATATCAGAATTGCAATTCCTGCCTGATTTTTCTCACCAAAGCCGTAAAAATGGTCAAAGTTCAGGTGGCAATTAATCGTAAGAAATTGTCACATGCCCAACCTTCCGAAATTGGGATCAAATCCAATCCCATAGTAAGTGAGTATCGTGAAGGCGCCCACTTCAACAATGCTGGCCGGTATTTTTGTTATCCACAGGGGAAGAGCATAAGCCCACCCGGGGTAAAAGAAGAAATTCCTTTGCTTGTAGAAGACCGGAAGCTTCTGAATGGTCAATGCTATCTCCGCCATGCCATTAAAAAGGACAGTGGTGGCAGCGTAAAATAAGGCGCCAGCAAATACTCTTCCATCAGATAGGCTGTGGTGGTGCATCTTAACTCGAAGGAAAAGTGTCATTGCTATGACAGCCATTAAGGAAAGCTGAAGACAGAATTTAAAAATTGCCATTTGTCATTAAGTTACATGAACAGGTGGGATGAGTTATATTCAGAAAAACATTTTCTGTCATTTCAACTTACACTTGGGGACATTGGGGCAATATATATGATAAAAACAGACTTCAGTCTATAGTTTCGATGATTTTTTAAAAAACGATTTTTATATTAGTAACTAAATCAAACCTCAAAGTAAGTTTTTTGTGATAAACCAGATCTCTTTTATTTTCTGTTTGCCATTTTCATGTCTCACCCCTACTTAAACTGCCACTACAGGACACAAAAAACTCACCTGTAATAGCTTGAATATATAAACAAAAGAATTTCTTTTCATCAGCAAAAGCTCTCTGGATGTACAAGCTTTGATGAGCTCCTTTTTGCTGACACCATATTCTTTTGTCGTTAAAGCAGCCGGGTGGCTTTTTTTCTTGTCAAATGGGATTGCCATCTCGGCCGTCAGTCCCTGCCCCACATGAAACGACTTGAATGCCTCTGAAAATTCTTTAACCGTAATAAACCTGTACCGCTTATCCTTGTCTGCAAAATATTGCTGCTGGTCTTTCTTGGATGTAACCTGCATCAAACAGTTTGAATAGTCTGGACTCATTCATTGTTTATATAGCAGACCAAAAGTGGCATTAACAAATTAATATTCATTCAGAAATTAAAATTAGCAAAAAAAAAAAAACGGTAATTTTCAATAAGCGCACATGTTTAGTACTTCATTGCTTGCTTTTTTTCTTTTTCTAATTCGAAATTTGCAGGACAATAAAAGGGTCCACGTGGCCATAGTTAGTTTTTCAATTTATAATTAGAGAAGAATGGAACAAAACAGTTAATTTCTTCTTTAAAATACCATGTCTAGTTTAAATTTGTTAAATATTTTAAATTGTGATTAATGCAGTAGCATCACTGCCACCTTTATAGAGGATAAAATTTCAAGAAAAAAAGATGATTACTTCTTGCAAGAAGTCAGCAATCCCTTTTCTCTCAGGACATTTGAAACCCATGGACTGGAAGAACTCGAGCACAAACTCGCGTGGGCCCGCATAAACAATCTGCCCTTCAGATATAAGAATTATATCGTCAAACAGATCGTACGTCTCAGGCTCCGGCTGCAGGAGTGAAATCAGAACAGTCCCTTTCATGATGTGGACAAACTGTCTGATCGAGTTCACGACCTGGAAGGTAGTTGAGCTGTCCAGCCCGGTTGATATCTCGTCCATGAAAAGCGCTTTTGCAGGTCCCACCAGCATCTCACCTGTGGTTTCCGAATTTGTTAGGAAGATTTAGGGAGTTTCTGCAAACAGTTGTAACTCTGAGACAAAATGGACCAACATAGGAAAAGTAGAAAGTACTGCTTGAGCATGAAAAGTTGACACTATTTGCAAGCAAACGAAAAAATGTATTTGCTGAATAAGTTTGCAAAAGCTTAACTTGCATGTTAAAGTCCAACCAAAAGCAGTATCAAATCGGAAGTATCACATCCCAATGTTTTCGAAATTTGACTCAATTTATGCAACCAAATGCAGAACCGAAAAATCAGAAGCTGATATAAAAAAACACTCCTATTTCAACAACCACCTTATTTTATTATTTATTTCCCAATCAATTGTAAACACTCCTAATTCAGCAATGCAAGTTCTTATTCATAACAAAAAGTCTGCCATTTTTACCAGTGGTGACACGCTTTCGCTGCCCACCGGAGATGCCCCTAATCATTTCATTTCCTACAACTGTATCAGCACAAATGTCCAATCCCAATATCTGCATGAGTATGTATTCATAGATATGTATAAGTTCAGTTTGATGAATAACAACATATGGCTAATCAGTCAGACATATTAGCAAACACCTTCAGTGCATATTACCTTGAGAACATAATCAGTCACAATGCTAGCTTCTTGACCTTCTATGGCTGCTGCCTGCAAGTTTATTCAGTTACATAGCTTACACGATGAGATATTACTAGTCTACAATGGGCGAATTCATCACATGAAAAGACAAAAGAAAGAAAAATAAAAAGGGAATCTTGAGACTTGTCAATTTCTAGTTTTTACAACTACCCATTTTCTACCCTCTGCGAGCTTCACACTCTGCAACCCTCCAACTGAGTAGAGATTGCAGAGTGAGAAGCACAATGAGTGTAGCTTGGTGTCTTCTGGAAAATAAAGCACAGCCGTTAAGAACTCAGGAGGTTGCCAACAAAATCTACTATTACAAGTAAAAAAATAAAAATAATTATTATTATATACGTTTCAATAAAATAAAAACTATATATTATTCATCCAATTCCACATCCCCTCCCCTCTCTATTAATCCAGAACCCGCTGAACCTACGTGACTATTTCTGGTGATTCGAAATCTTATGTGGCAAAATTACATGCTTCTTCGTTATTAGGTTTGAGTTAATTTTAATTTAATTCCAAACCAAAAATAATTAGGTTCGGATTACCATAAATGTGTTGATTATTTATGGTCATGTTACATGCATTAATTGCATTTTAATATCATTATTTGTTATAACTATTGAATTGTATATGTATTTTAAAAGTTAATAGCTTTTATATTTTTTATCAGTTTTACATATATAATATATCAAAAAAATATTCTTTTGATGAGTTTCGATTTAACATCCATATTGTATGTATAAAAAAAATTATATTTATCTTTATAACAATAATAAAATTATTTTTAATATTAATTATAAAAATAAAATTATTTATCAACGAATATATTTATATTTCAAATAGTTATATGATATAAATAATAAAAACTAATATAATATAACACATATAAGTCATAAGTAACAAATACCATTCTAAAATATATAGTAATATATTTTTTTTTAAGAAAGTAAACTAAATTTAATATTGTTTTCTCATTAATTTAAAATTTTAAGAATAATTTTTTAACACGCACTCGTGTAATACACGGGTGTTGTACTAGTTTGTATTATAATTGTCAATCTTATTAATTAATAATTTATTGTTGTTACATTATATAATCACTATACTAATATCTTGTATTTATGCACCATCTCAAATTTATTTTAATATTTTTTTTAAAAAAAAGAATTAACTTTTTTAAATTAATGAATATTCATAATTCATAACATTTCGTATTTTGCAACCTATTTTAGTAGTTTTATTGATAAAATGCACCAAGTATATATTTATTAAAAGGATGCATATATTTGCCTAAATTATTTCATCAACTGATCAAAACTTCAATCATAGCTTTGTAAATTGTTACTATTTTGTATCTATGTGTAATTCTTACTTTCATGTATACATCAACATCAGGATCAGGCTTTATATTTGCTTGTTTTTCCCTCCTTGACAACTCTGCTAGCATTTCTGCACAAAATTTAAATAATCATATAATTAATTAATTAACATCACACATAAAAAAAAAAAATGTGGGAAAATAATCTTATATAATATTTCTACACTTTTTTCGATTTTGTATTGAAGTTCTCACTTAATCAGTTTTAATGCTCAAACGACGTGTCGTGTATATATTAATCAATTTTGCTACTCGACGTCGTCAGATATATACATGAAAGTAAACTTAGGCCGTTAACGTAAACAGCTAAACCAATTAACGGACGAAATATTGAATATCAAAATCGAGTAAATTAAAACATTATAAATACCAATAAATAATTTTTTCTTCAAATTAAGTTAACAATAAATAAAATAAAAATAACAAAAAAAAAAAAGGGAAAAAGTGTATTGTACCATGATTGGTTCCAACTCCTTGACATCTTGCAGAGAAGGCTAAAGTTTCTCTTACAGTCATTTCTCCAATATGAACATCATGTTGGCTTACATAAGCTGCTGTCCTTTGGGCTATAAATTCTTTCATCCCATGTCCATTATATCTCACACTTCCACCAGAAAACTGCACCCATGAAATTGATCATATACATATATATTATATTATTTACCAACTGATATATGATCCGAAATAATAAAGCATGTTGATGATTAATTAATAGCCAAAATTATTACTTTCATATGTATATTTCGGAAATAAAAGTTAAATATTGATATGTCGATCGACATGCATATAAGCCTTCATCGGTAAATAGGTCATAAGAAAAACAAATCGAAATCATGCATAATATAATCAAAACTATTTTAGCTAGCATTTTTGTTGTTTTACCAATGATTAATTATCACTTGTTTGGAATGAAAAAACTTTTGCAAAAATTTATTATTATTATTATTATTATTATTATTATTATTATTATTATTATTATTATTATTATTATTATTATTATTATTATTATTATTAAGTAACCTTCAATTGAGGATCAAGCATCCCAGCCATAGCCAACAAAAGTGTGGTCTTTCCAGAACTTGGAGGGCCTAGTAGAAGGGTCATGCTGCCAAGGCACCAAAATAAAATAAATAAATAAATACATACATAAATAAAAATTACATTAATTTGGTACATAAATATGCAGAAGTATATATAAAAAAAAAATAATAATAATAATAGAAAGCAAAGTTAGAGTAGTAAAATATTATTACCGGCCAGGCTTTATGATTCCACTAACACTGTTTAAGATTGTCAATGGCTTCTTCTTGCTTGGAAGTATATGAAGAATATTGCTTGATATTTCCTAGTAATTAATAAAAGAAACATAAATTATTATTTTATTAGAACAAATTAAATAATGTAAGAAGAAAATATATAGTGAATTTATCATAATTAATTCATAACTAATAATTACCTCCAAAATATTTGTGAAAAAATTCATGAAAGAAGGCAAAGCCCTGCTCCCAACATATGCTTCTGTTTCCACTTTTAGGTTCTCAAATCTAACTTCAATTGTAGGTAATTCAATCCCCACCCTGAAAAGTACAAAAACAATATAAGAAATACATAATTTAAAAATTCCCCCTATATCACCCTATATATTAATCAAGAACACGCTGAGCCTACGTGGCTGCTTTTGGTGCTTCAGAATTCTATGTGGCAAAATTACATGCTTCGTTATTAGGTTTGGGTAAATTTTAATTTAATTCCAAACAAAAAATAATTAGGTTCAGATTACCATAAATACGTTGATTATTTATGGTCATGTTACATGTATTAATTGTATTTTAATATCATTTTTTAGTATAACTATTGAATTGTATATATATTTTAAAAGTTAATAGCTTTTGTATTTTTTTATCAATTTTACATATGTAATATATCAAATTAATCTTCTTTTGATGAGCTTCGATTTAACATCCATATTGTATGTATAAAAAAAATTATTTTTATCTTTATAACAATAATAAAATTATTTTTAATATTAATTTGAGAAATAAAATTATTTATCAACTAATATATTTATATTTCAAGTAGTTATATTATATAAGTTATAAAAACTAATATAATATAATACATGTAGTCATAAGTAACACATATCATTCTAAAATATATAGTAATATATTTATTTTGTGAAAAAAGTAAACTAAATTTAATATAGTTTTCTCATTAATTTTAAAATTTAAGAATAATTTTTTAACAAGCACCCGTGTAATACACGAGTGTTGTACTATTATATATATAACAAATAAGGCATGCACTAAAAATAAAAATAAATAAATAAAAAAGTATGGTTACTATTTGTCACAACGATTAGACAGTCTTACTTTTCACAACATACATGAACACTTGTGAATTAAAATTTCACATTTTAAGAAATAGTATACATTTTTGTTAAAACGTTATGACGAGTCGACTCGCCTAACGGTTAGACCATCTTACATAAAAATTTGTAAAAAAAAATAAAAAATAAAAAAGTTACCTATCCATTCTATTCTTGAGCTTAAACAAGAACTTCTCATTATCTTCTTCCTTAACAAGCCTCTCAAGCAAATTCACCCTATCTTGATTTCCGAGATTCTGGACCTCAACCTCATTGACGTCCCCTCTCGACCCGAACAAAAGGCCCTTCCTAAGCCGGTCGAAAGTGGGAAGCTTCTCGAGCGCGGCCCACTTGAGAGCCTCTTCGTCGTCCTCCTCACGGGCCGAGCTTGAAAACACCTCCGGCCCGTTGTTGCTCCAGGCTGAAGAGCTTCTTCTCTGGCTAAAACTGGTCGTGTACAGATTACTCACATCCATCTTTTATTTCATGTATATGGTCTGAAGAGGAATAATTAATCGAAAAACACTTAAATCATGCAAGATTATATTTTGTATATTTGTTATAATAGATGGAAGTTGGGCGAACTTTAAAATTTTAATTAATTAGGCAGCAGCACATAACTTTTTTTGTGTTTAGGCACTTAAGAGTAAATGTGCATGGCTGGAGTCTATATATATTCGTACACAACTCACATTAATATAATTAAATATATAAAATTGTAAGTTCATATCTTTGACAATTTCATGTCCCCTAGTGAATGAATTAAGGCAACATTTCATTTTTCGTCCTCTAAGTTGGTCACTTTTTAAAATTACACTCCGCTATTGGTCACTTTCATTTTGGGTCCTATAAATAATTAAATTTGGTCTTATTTTATCCGCGCCCGGGATAAAAATGTGATGTGACGTTTTCAAATTTGACATGGCGTGATTGTGACTTATGTGGCGGGATTAGAAAGGTTGACTTCAAACTCAATTAATCCACATCATGCCAGGCTTAAGTTGCAATAAACTAAAACTTTTTTAATTACACTATAGTCCCTAAAATTAATTAAATTTTCAAAAATGTGCCCTTGAATTCAAAATCATATTTTGTCTCCACCCATCTGCCGGAATCCGGCTGCCGGACGCCGTTTGACCACCTCCGATCGGATTTTTTTTACATCAACTTGAAGCTCGTCTCGTCCTCGTTCACCCCTTAAAATTTTAGGCGAAAATTCAATCGGTACAACCGTCAATTGCTTTGGTCAAGGTTTTTAGATCTAGAAAAATTTGGTCAAAATCCGATCTTCTTCAATTTTCCGGCAATTCACGGCGACCTACTGAAACCCGAGGACACCTCCGGACTTCTTGCTCCGCCGCGCACCCGTCGACGTCCATTATCTCCAAAACCGGCGACTTTTTCCGGCAAATATAACCGCACTCGCCCTGCCGTACACTTTTTTCGCTGCCATGAATTAATAACCCTGTTAACAATTTTGAAATTTTGCCATGAATTAATAACCCTGTTAACAGCTATGTCGTTCTAATTTTACTTTTCTCTTTAACTTTCTCAAAATATCTCATTAGGTGAATAGGGGTCATAAGCAATTACATCAGTTATTATAGAAGAAAAACGAGTCTAGAATTGTTAAATACGACAAAAATTTTGAATGCAGTTTTTGTTGTCAATCTCTTGAGGTTAGCAAATCTTGATCT